AGAGGTGCTACTCGGGACTTGGAAGCGTTATCTCGCGTTCGGAAAGGCTGTCAGCAAGTATGGAAACTGGCAAGTCGATTATAAGGACACGATGGCGGTCGTCCTGCATGCTGAGGGGGGCGACCTCAGGAAGGTAACGAGGGCTCCTAAATCGGAGGCAGAGATAGTGGAGCTGAACGTTGATGAGGAGCAATTCAAGAGATGCACAGCAAAGCACGGTGGCGAGGAAGGAAACGAACGAGAGGTGTATGAGCGGTGGGAACGACATCCTAAACGGTTGCAGAAGTTGTGTAGTTCGTTTCTGCACGAGGACCAGGGGGTGATTCTTATTGGAAAGTCGCATGTCGGACTTGTGTGGGAGCTCCTGCGCGCTGGCCATCATGTTTTCGCATGCGACTCGTCGTCAAAAGACATTTCATACTTGACGAAGGTCATCGAAATTCTCGGGAAGGATGCGAGAAATGAATGCACCGTTGAAAGACAGAAGACTGCGCATCGTCCTGATAGGGACATGTACCACAAGCAGGGCAAGAAGAGAAACAAGACTTGGGAATATTTGTTCCAAGGCCAACCCAAGACGTCATTCGAGCATGACTACGTAGTTCGCAAAGCGATGGCACAGGAAGCGTATAGTGGCTACCATAAAGCGCAAGTGGGGTCGTTTGCGATGTTCGTAGCAAGATGCGAACGAATGAAGTTCGGAGGAAATCAGGCAATGCTGACGTACGATGGATACAGCAAGATTGCCAAAGAATATGATGCGTGGAATCCAATCGAGAGCGATGAGGAGACTGAAACCTCATACCTCGAAATCGAGGAGCGAGTGAAACGTATGCGAGAGGGAATGGAAAGCGTGCCTGCATGCAACGCGCCAAGCCTCCAGGAAGAAGAAGTTCGCACGAAATCGGCAGGTGCGAGCAGTCCAACGCGTGACGTGACCGACAGGGCGAGTTCCATTGAACACATGCAAACGGATTCGCTTACGTCAATTCAAACACTTGAGAATGTACTGATTCATGACAATCGTCAAGGGTTCCGAGAAAAGGCTCAATCTCGAAGAAACCCGGTCAACGAAATGCGGCCAGACGATGACGAGGATGACTTTGCGGTTCCAAATGCCCTCCCGAAGCTGATGCCCGGTGATGATATCCCTGATAGCATTGCGCAGGCCAGTGAACAGCCGTACTTCATTCCAGACAAGGTGCCAGAAACGACGTCTGACAAGTGGGGGCATCACATTTTGTGGCATATGGACCTATTCGAGCCATACATTGTACAGGGGAAGTGGATGATGGCAGTCCCTCTAACAAAAGGATGGAAAGTCAGAGCCAGACTGTGTGAAGCCTCGTGGCTGAAATTGGCGAAGAGCGAAATCGTATTTTGTGTTAGGAAAGAAAATGACGGAGCGGATGAAGCAGCTATTGAGGAAAAGGCTCGATTGCTATTCGAATGTCTTCACTCCAAAAACCGACTGGAATATAAACACGGATTCTACGACTTGGAGTCAAGTCGGTCATACAAGAGTATCAACTGGAAGATCGATCTTCCTCAAGCTGGCCATGACGTTGAGACAATCCGGTTAGGATGCTCACAGATTGGGGGCGAGTCAAACACGCAGTTTGCAACGAGTGTTGGGGAAGCGATGAGTCAGACAGCCAGCAAGATAATGGAGGCGACCGAGGTTCCACGGAATGTCGAAAAAGTGACATCGAACGTTACATCGTACGGACCTCCTCTAATAACGCAGGCGGGAAACGAGTATGCATCGCAGATGGCGAGCCCCACTCCTTCCGGAAATGGGGCTGTTGCAAATGAAATGCAACAAGGTGGGTATGCACAACGTGCGAGTGAGGTGCAAAATGATTCCGATGAGATGATGAAACTGCTAGATGAGACAGAGAAGGAGGAGACGAGGAAGGTCGAGGGACCAACCACGTCGAAGTCGGTGATTAATTGCATTTCGTTGAGTGATGAAGGGATAGACGGAGTTGTGGAGGGGCGCGATGACAATGACGATGCAAGGGCAAAAGTCGATGAACAGCGGCAAGGGGATGACGAAGGACGACCTACAAGACGGTCGACAAGAGAAGTAAAGAAAAAACATCCAATTAATGTGTAGATATGTGCAAAAGTTGAGTTCGGGTTGGCGTGACACTCGATTGATGTATGTGACAATGTGTACGTAACTTATATATGTGTTTTCGGTTGGAGAAGTGTGATATAATAATTGATTCCGCAGTGATTTAAAGAGGACATTAGATTACAGTGTAATGCATAATCTCTCTCTCTCTCTCTCTCTCTCTCTCTCTCTCTCTCTCTCTCT